ATGAACATGACTGTGTGTGTATATGTACAGAACTGGATCCAGAAGTTGTTTAAATGCTGAGAAAGTAGCTAAACTTTATTTTCATGATATTTTAAGTTTTTTTTTTTTTTTTTTTTTTAAACATCAACTATGATCCAGAAAAAAAAAAAAAAAACAACGTTTAGGGTTGCTTGGTTGATTTTGACCTCTGTTGTAAGACTTAATTATATCATTGTTATATCACTGTTATTCGATCTTGTGTTATTAACAAATATTAACTTTGCCTTTACTATCTCAACCAAGGGAAATGCATACAGTCTAGATGTCCTCATCTTTAGCTACTTTCTCAAAGTCGTCCTGCACATCAGAAATGGAGCTGATGCAATCATTCAGGTCAAAAGGCCACAAAGGAGGATACAATTTCTTTTTTTAAACTAAGGATGTTAGCATAGCAGAGATGCGGCACTGAAACACAGGCTAGTAGAGGAGTAAATGTTTCTTCTTTCCCTTAACTCACGGGACACTCTGTGATCACTAAAACATGTCAGCCACTGTGCACATCAGATAAACCTTTACGAGAAGCAACGGGGAATTTTTAGCTCACCTTCTGCGTGTGTGTTGTGCTATGTCCTGTCTCTTGAGGGCGACCAGTTTAGCACATGTGGCTGATGTGGGTTTTTTTTTTTTTTTTTTTTACTGCACAAGATTCACTGGTGGCTGCATCCTTTTCTGCAGGGCTTCATTAGTGAAGTGTTTGACTTTTGTTTACATTTAGTCACTTTACTAACATAAAAATTCAATGTTTTTTTTTATTGATACTTTATGCGATGGCTGACATAAAGTAGTGCATCACTATGAAAAGAGCAGAAAATGAAATGATAGCTTTCAGCTAATTTTGTACACCATCCCCACTGTGACAAATGGGAGTGGCAGCATCATGCTGTGGGATGCTATTGTTTAGCAGGAAGTTGATCAGAGTTGATGCATTGCACAAACACAGAGCTAGTCTTAAATCAGTAAATCCTTAATACTGATTTTTTTAAAAAGTACTACTTCCACTGGCAGATTATTTGGTAACACTTTATGTGACGGGGTGTGCATAAGACTGACATGACATCGTCATGAACATGACGTAGCACGTGTCATGAACATGAAGGAGTCTATGAATGTCTATGACTGTTGTCATGAAGTGTGATTCGGTAAACAATGATACTTTTAATGCAAAGTTGCTCCAGACGTTGCCTTGAAAGTCCATTAAAAGTGTCAACTTTGCAAAGTTGGCAGTTTTAATGGACTTTCAAAGCAACTTCTGAGGTAGCTGAGGACAAAGTTGGTTCTACAAAGAACTGAACCAGGAGGGCTGAGTACAAATGCATATTTAGTGTTTGGTGTGTCACACAAAATCCCTGTTGGCATAATTTAAATGACATTTACAAGGTGTTGTAATATTTATAAGGAGTAAACAAAACAAGAAAGATCACTGCATGCTCTGTATGTGGCCATTCAGTCCACTGTCTATGTATGATTGCACTCACACTTCAGATGGCGAGGCTTGAAGTAGTTTCCTGTGTGGTTAACTGAGATGGTGTTATATTTGTAAAGAAAAATAGAAGAGAACTTTAAGGCTGACAATGCATGACAGTGAGAACTTGAAGAACATTTAGTAAACTAGAAAATTCCTGAAGAAATTTAACCGTGGCATGCCAACGTGTGCCCGTCGGCTTGGACCCAGCGTTCTGCTGCTAAAAATAATCATCAATGCTAAGTTTAGCTAAATCATAGTCAATAACCTGTGGAGAGGCAGAAGCATGTGGACTAAGCTGTACTTGTACCATTCAGTATGTTAAAATTAATGCATAAGCTAAAATTGTCCAAAGTGCTAATGTTAGCGTGAAGACTATCAGTAGCATGTGGGACATCATTCGCATGCTGTCTGTCATTGACTTACTCCATTCAGTATACTAAACATCGTTTATAAGTAAGAAAATTAGCTAATAGCTAACTTTAGGGGCAGTGCAGCAAGGCAGTGCAGTAGTGGGGGCAGTGAAATGCTAATGTACTGAGGAAAAAAAACATAAAAGAAAGCCAAATATTATTGCACCACCTATGGCAGTGCAATAATTAATTAATTAATTAATAATAATTAATGGTAATGGAAGAATAATAAATAAGCTATAATAAAGAGACATTCTGTTGGGTGTAAAACAATAGGTGCCTGCCATGCATTACATGAGAGGCAGTGACTCCCTATGTAAGTGACTCCCTATGCGTGCCCCAATAATACGCTGCCATCTGCTCCTGGGGTCAGTTCAGTTCTATTTATAGAACAGGCTCAAGGAGAGGATGACATGGAAAGTCCCAGGCAGTATCTGGTCAGTGGGTGACTAAGCCATGTTCTCAGAGACTGAATAGATCCTGTTTAGCTTACAAAGTGGACCAACATGAGATTATTTATCTTCTGGTTAGAGAATAATGAGCACAATTTGGATTTTATGCCTTATAAAAACAACCTAATTCAACTCCAAAGAACATAAACAACAAGTAGTATCTTTTAGCAAAAACTGCATTTCAGAATCAGCTGAAGCAAAACTTCACACATCTAAACAGCTTCAGATCAGACTGAGTGTAAACATCAGTTTTCCAGTTTTACCACAGATTCTCATTTGGATTAGGTTTTGGGCTTTGATTGGGTTTTACAGGTTTCCTATTAGAGTCTATTTTCTTCCTTGTTCTTTCTGAAGAGAAGCAGCCCACAGCCTAATGCTGCCAACACCATGTGTTACAGGTGAGGATGGTGCATTCACAGCCACGTGTTTTCCGCTCCTCTTGTGTCCTGAACCAAAATGGGGATTTTTTTTTTTTTACCATAAAATACTTTGGATTTTGTTGTTACACCATTACAAAATCAGGTTTTGTTGTTTTAATTGTCTTTTTTTTTAAGTTTTGTTTATATTTTGAAAACATTGTGTCAGAACATCTTTGAAAATTGGTAACACTGTTTCCTTTCCTCAGCACCAGCTATTCTTAACTCAGGCTAATAATTGGGATATTTTCACCGTGGCATTTATGACTTTGTTGCTGTTAGGAACATTTTAGTTGAGATCTTCCTTCAGCACATGATGTGCCAAACTCAAGGCTCGTGGGCCAAATCTGGCCCACCAGATGTTTCTTGTTGCTCTCCAGAACCTTTAGCATTACGTTTATGTGCTTAAGTATTATTTTATTAGTCAAAATCAGTAGTTTTATCTGTATTCTGCCCAATTAAGATCAAGATGAAAAGATGTTTAACGTCATTTAATTTCAAGAAGTTCTTATCAAATGCAGAGACAGACATTTATTAATATTTTAACAAAACAAAAACTCTTTACCACAACTCTTTCGGGATGCGGTCCAAAACGAAAATGAGTTTGACACCCCTGACCTACAGCCTGTTAAAATATGTAATGTAGAATCAGTGATAAACATTTAAACCTTGTTGCAGGATTGTATGAACTTTATTCTGGGAGGTTGCTTCTAATATCACTTTGGCTCTCATTTCCACTATCTCTGTTTTTGTTTTGATAAGACACAACAGCTGGTCTGTCATGCCCAACCCTCTAAGAACCTAAATCACAGGAACAAACACACACACGAATACACACACGAATACACACACGATTGCTCAAACATGCACCTGTTGCTGCATCTTGTGGCTGAGTTTCATCACTCGCTCAGATTCTCTGTTGTGAAACACGGCTCATCGGGTTCTCTCTGTCTCTGCTCTCTCTCTCCCACATCTGCCAGCTCACCATCAGAGCCACATGATTCACGTGGTGTAACATTTGCCTCCTTGTTTGTTACTCAAAATAACGTCAGATCACCTGTAGTTTTTCCAGCCTTGCTCTCCTCCCCGCCCTCGCTCGCCCTTCTGGCCTCACTTTCCTGAAATCACCGCACAGAAACACAAGTGAGTTGTGGTTTGACAGAAACTTTAATATGTTAATATGTTTATATTTGCTTTTTTCAGCTTTTAAGTGCGCACACAGATCAAACTTTCTCACATTTTCCTCATGAGAGCCACAAACCAACATAAAGCAGTGTGTGAATGTGAAGTGGACGTACAGTCCCACATATAGATCAGAAAGTGCTTCTCCAAGACATAACATGGAAATTTAAATGTGATTTGTTGTAGATTCTGTGAAAGTCAGAACTTACAATTCCTGATGCTGAACGCATGTCAGAGAGAAATAAGTTCTTTGTGTAACTTTTTGAATTCTTTACTTGTGGGGAGGGAAAGAACATTGAATATATGGGCACTGAGTGAGAAGTAGAGGATCAAATAGGCACTTACTTCTGAGATTCTTTTTCAAGTCACTGTATTTTTCTGTGAGACGCTGAGACATAAAGACAAGTCGCATGTTTGGAATCAAATTTTATTACTTCAAAGCTAAAAAAAAAAAGAACAACAAAAAACCCCAGAACATTTCCAAAAAGACAGTGACAAACAATTTTCAAATAGCAAAAGACACTAAATTAAAGGGTCTAGATCGAAAGCCTCTGTTGAACGAAGACTGACTTAAATTTTCGTTATTCGTAGCGTTTCATGAAAGAAACGTTAAAAATCTTATTGGGGCCATTTGATTTTTTTGCTTTCATTAAAGGCTGGGATAATCTTTGCCAGACATGTGCTGCAGTCAGAGAGACCTGAGAGCTGAAACCAAAGAACCTCTGGGATTCAAACATGACAAGTAAAATCTCATGATTCAGAGCCGGCTGAAAATAGCACTTTCACCCTTTGTGAAGTTAGACAGGTTAAGAACAGGCTGTGCAGCGGAGAACTTCTCTTTTAAAGGTGTAGGTGTTGAAAAGAAACCTCACGCAAAGAGATGCCAGACTTTTTTCTCTCTTTTTTCTTAAAAAAAGGGGTGCTTTGATCATTTTTTTTTCAATAAACGCGCTTTAAATCAATTTAATAAAAATGTCTTACTACTCAAACAAATGAAAAAGTGTAAACATCTTTTAAAAATTGTCCTTTGCTTTCATCATGACTTCTTCCAATTCTGCGTGACGCATGTCAGAGTCAGGCAGCCGTGGTCAAACAGTTTAAAGGGCAGCCTCCCTTTACATGTCCAAGTGTCCGTCTTTGGGTCAAAGCACTCAAAAGCGTCCGTGTCCTCTATGGCGTCATGGCCGTTGACGTAGCGTCCGCCTGTGACGTAGAGCTTGTTGTTGAGGCCGGTGGCAGCGTGGTGCATCCTCCGCTCCTTCAGGTTGGCACACTTGACAAACCTGTTGGCCTCGGTGTCGTAGGCCATCACTCGCCTGGTGTATCCTGTGACAGCAGAGGCATTAATATGAGAGAGAGGGGACAGTGTCGCAATCCACAGAGGCATTTAAAACGAAACGTGAGAGTAATATGTTTTCCTTCATATGCTGAACCCCAAGAGATCTTTTTTAAATGGGCAAACGTATCTCAGGAACAACCATAAACATCTGCAATTACAGGTGAAAGCAAATATTTACATACACAGAATAAAAGGACACAAACAAGGGTGTTAGAAAATGGCGGATGGATAGTGGCTGAATTGAGTTCTGGTGTCCCTCAGGGACCAGTATTTGGGCCAATTCTATTCTCCATTACATGATTCCTCTAGTTAATATTTAGATGGTGAACCATCTACACGGATGATACTTGGATGCACATGAAATAAAAGCTGAGGTTTGTCTTTTTGCCATTACATTCTAAACTGGCCCAAAATTATCTTAAATTTGGTCAACGTGATTTTCGGTTGTCGCACGTAATTGTTTCATTGCTATTCTATCAAATATCATCTATTAGTTAAAGTTGCTCCTGCTGCTTTGAATCAAACAGTCATATTTTATCCCAAGCTTAACGTTGATTCTTAATTTAAAGCTGTCACTCAACCTTGTTGGTCCCACCTTGGCAGTCTCATATATTGGGTCATTTCCTTCAGCTTTACAATTGCGTCTACCTTCACCTTAAAGTGTGAAATGCATTTTACTCAGGTGTTAGAGCTGCTTTCCCTCTCTCCAAGCATCAACCTGCTGATGCTAAACTCATTACAGGTCTAAAGGACATGAAAGCTGCACTTTCCCTCCTCCCTTCACTGGTAGCTTGATAGATTCTGAATTGATTTCTAAATCTTCCCTCTCACCTTCAAAGCTTTAAACGGCCTGGCCTCTGAATACATCGCCACCTTATTGACCCAGAAGGCTCCCTGCTGACAGCTCCCTGCTAACGCTCCCAGACCAAAGGTTGCTGTCGACTTTAGCAATGTTTGACGTTTCTCAAACATTTACTGTAGTAGCCGTCAAGCTAACCAGAGAAGCCTTACTATTTTTTTTAAAACCATGTTTTCCAAAGTACACTTCTATCTTCTGTTTGTGCATCCGGTTTTAAAAAGTATTTGCTCCATTTACATACCGCCAATGATGTAGATTTTTTCATCCAGAACAACAGCAGGAGCAGACACGTTCTTCACTGTTCTGTTCTCCATCGTACACCACATGTTCCTGCCGATGTGATATACCTGAGGCAGGGGGAGAGACAATAGATGAGTGGATAAATGGGGGGAAAAAAAGGAGGAAACAAAGGAACAAGGAGAAGTTTGTCCCTTGAGTTCACCTGTATCAGTCTGACGGGGTCGTGTGTAGCATCCTGTCCTCCAAACATGTAGATTCTCTGGTTGGTAGCGGCGACCGCAGGATACAGCACCGTCTCTGGCATTGGTGCCACGGCTTCCCATTGGTTGAACATACTGTTGTACCTTAAAACAATGTCGGGAGAGTGTTTGTGAATGTTTTCACCGTGGCGCCTCACTTTTATTACCACCAGGAGGCTTTGACTGAGGTCTCACCTTTCAACACCGGCTGTCAGCTGTCTATCAGACCCGAGGCCACCCAGGACGAAGATGAAGTGCAGGTAGGAGACGGTCTGATGGGCAAAGCGAGGCTCCAGCATGGGCTCTGCTGTCCTCCACTGGTTGGTCTTGAGGGAGAGGGTGTACACCGTCCGGCTGACTTGGCTGCTGCTTGTGTTTGTGGTCAGGCCTCCCAGAACGTACAGTATGCTGTGAAGGGCTACGTGGGAGGCTTTGTAAAGACGTACAGGCAGCTTGGTGAGCCGCTGCCACTTCTGCTTCTTCTCATCGAAGACCAGTGCCTCTCTCGAAGTCAGCTCATTGTTCCTCCTTCCTCCAACCACCACCAAGGTGTCATCATGGCTGCAGCGCCGTGGTGCAGCCCAGAGAGGTTTAAAGTCGACCACAAAGTCCCTGATGCTTCTTGTGCCAATCGAAAACATGAGACGCCTTACAGATTCAATGATCTCGGTGCAGAGGGTGGAAGACTGGATCAGAGGGTCGTTTGCAATGAACTGGAAGAGGTAGGTGGGGTGTAAATGTCGAAGACGGACCTTTTTGAAAAGGTTGCTTACGGTCCCCCGCCTGGAGACGGGATCATGACGGATCCAAGCAACAAGTGTCTCAAAGACCTCCTCCTCCTGAGCGCAAAGGCTGTCGTCCTCCAGGTACCCCATTAGTTCCTGTAAAGAAAGTTCACACAGGTCCTCTGACGAGGACACGTCAGTGAAGCTCTCCATGGCCATCTCTTTTGCCTTTTTTCTCAGACTGTCACAGTTCATCAGATCTGAGAGTCTGAACATGCTCAAGCAGTTGTCTGGTCTCAGCTGTGACTGAAGGAAACGGGAGCAGGCCTCAAAAAGGCGGCCAAATTGCAGCATGGACGCCGCCTGCATCAGATGAAGCACATTATCCAGGCCGATGCTAATGAGTCCAGTGTAAACATAGTCCACAATACTGGTCAGAATGACAGGTCCAACTCCTTTCATATCAACCTTGGTCTGTCTCGTCTCCCTGAAGCCGTTGCAGAACATGGCTCGGAAATAGGCGCTGCTGGACGCCAGGACGTTACGGTGGCAGGGGATCTCAGTGCGACCAGCACACAGGATGACGTCTGTCAGGATGCTCTCCGCCCTCAGTTTGTGCAGCTGCAGAAGCAGGGTGGAGGACTGTTCCTCATCGCTGTAGTGAAGGACTTCAGCAGCTGGTGGATCCATGCTGAGAACAGATCATGCCAGCCCATTTGGTTCCATGTTTGTACGTGTTGTTCCACCCTTATGGTTTCACAAGCCTGTTTTGAGGTATTGCTCAGCATTTCAGAGCTTAAATTATAAAGTTTGATGGTAAAGATTTTGTTTTTCCTATTGTTGGAAGATGACATTAAATAATTCATGTATTTTTAGAGAAAAATTACAATAACTTTAACAAACTGCGTAGAACTTCTTTCTTAGAAAGATGCCTTCATTTTTCACTGCCTGTTTTACTAAAACAACCCGCATCCTGAACAGGCACCTGGATTTGTTGGATTACTTGTATCTTTCGTAGCATCACAAGTGTCAAATACAAATGGTTTTCAAACTTTTTATGACAAGTTCCATAGCAGGAAATACCAAGTTTCTCAAGTATCCCCTCTCTGATGGGCCTTTTAAAGCTGCTGTGAACCAAAAAGAGCTAAATGTTTTTGTGTGAGTAATTCAGTTTAGCCGATTCACTCATTTTCAAGTTTCAAATTGTAATAATTAGCAAAATGCTATAAGTAGGAAAGTCAGAGGTTTCTCATCAACCTTAAAAATCCAAAATGGCTGCTTTCCAAAGCGGTTTATTTGCTCTTCAGAAGAGTTCTCTTTTTTCCATACCCACTTGTGTTGAACATGTTGCGAAAGCAATTTAAAAAGTATGTAAAGAAGAGAAATCCTTGGTTATTAGCTTGTATTGCTAACATGAACTAGCATGGCCACTTAGCATATAATTGAGAAAATTCTAATGTTTTTCTGACTTTGATTTGGAACACGACCTAAATGTCATTCTGATTTCCAATATTTAATCTTCAAAAGCACACTGAACATGAACAGCACTTGTTCCTGGTCTGCTTTAGTTTACATGTTGTTCTTGTTCTCCACTGCACTTCTCTCTTGACTAGTTTCTGCTGAGGGAAACGTCAATTTGCTTATGCAAATCAGTATTTTGGCCATTGGTGCTTTTTAGCTCTGCTAAGATAATGTAGCATTCAAATTTCAGCCACCAAATAACCCAAGTCCCACCTGTGGTGCTTTAACCACAGCTTAAACACCAGTGAGCTCGTGTAAACACTTGCAGTCTTGTAGTTTGTTTTTGCCGGCAGTTTCAGCACTTCCGCTTTCAGATATATTATTTTTTTAAAATGTGGCTGTGCGTATCTGATCAGGCCGGGTTACTCATCCGGATTTCTGGCTTAAACACTGTCAATGGTGTGTTTCAAAATGTCTTCGCCTTTTTCATTTTATGTTTTGTTAAAGTGCAGGAATGTGTTGTTTTATGCTAAAAAAAAATAATACAAATGCAATTCATCAGTACTACACGTTGTCTGGAAAAAACAATATTCTGTGTCTCTATGCAACACATGAAATGCCACATTGCTGATCACAAAACCACCCTCCCAAACATCTCTTACCTGTCTCGTGTTTTTGTCGTCTTGGTTGTTTTCTGCAGAGGGTGCCGTCTTTAAAACAAGGTCAGATTAAAAAAAAAAAAAAAGACATCTTGGCATTCTGCTGTACTTTCTTTTCCTCGTTGTTGTGGTGATGCTGTGCGACTGCATGTGCTTCTCTCTCTCTCTCTCTTTGCAGGCAGAGTGTTGCACACTGTTTGTTGTTATGGTCTCTTTCCACAAGGCCTGTGTACATTCCTTCCCCTAAAAATAGAGCCGCTCTCTTTGGCAAACAGCGCCGCAGACTCACATGTGACATGGAAGAGAACTTTCTGAGAATCTGACTGACTCCATCACCTAAACTTCTTTCTTTCTAAACTCCCTCCTCCATTTCTGTGTCAAACATACGTGATCCCCCCTGTCAGCTATACAGCTTGCCTTTCTGAACCCCCCTCCCCCACCACCCAATCATCTGTATCTCCATCTGGCACATAACTATATCAGTAATAGCAGCGCTGATACTTGATAACACTCATTTTTTTTGCTGTCTGCTCGCTCTGCCAGGCAGGGTATAAAAAACAAGATTGTGTTACCGTCGAAGCAACATAAACAGAGAAATTAGGAGCCTGGCATTCAAGAAGAATGGACAAAATATTCTTGCTCTGTTTTACGCACAAGTCGTGACAGGTTCTTTGGGATTTGGGATGTTTGAGAATCAAGCTGAGGAAAAAAAAAAGAAGGGTCTGGCTTCACTTTTTACAGATGGTGTTCATGAGAACTCTTATTTAACAAAAAAGATGCTCTCTTTTCCCTTCGGCTGCGCTATTTTTTCTTTTTTGTTTGTTCGTTTGTTTGTTTTAAGCTAATTTCCATCTCTATTTGTTTTGTCTTCCCCCCTGAGGTAGAAAAAGGCCCCGTTCTGCTCAGCTTTTGTGGAGGACGTCCACGCAAGGTGGCAATGGGATTGTCTGCTCGTTTCCCTTTTACAGCTGGAAAAGAATCAAAGCGTGTTCCTGAAATGTGGGCACAGAAAAGAAAAGCAACAAAAACAAACAGTAGAAAAAAAAGCGCTTTCAGTCATCGCCTTTTACAGATACGCCGTGTTTTCCTTGTACCAGAGCTTTTGTACCCAGCATGGCAAATCAGACACAATAAGCTGCTTGAGCTACATGTGGGCACAGGTTTTTATTCAGCGTGTGAATTCGCGGTTTAATCTCAAAATGATGCAGTTTGCGTGCTGCGTCTGATGCAAAAGCAAGCACCCTAAAGTTAAGGTTAAATGTTAGCCGGCTAATAGACACTTGGTGGGATGATAATCCTGGCATTGCAGACAGGGAAACTTTCTCAAAAACAGTGGCAACTAAACAGCACCATCTAGTGGCTGCGCGGTCAAAAATCAGTACCAAGAACAACCTGAGACCAAACTGCTTCCAAAGTTTGATTTGCTTTTATCGTCAGCAATAAAACAGTAGATTTATTGCGGGCGTAGATGATTAGCTTTTACTTTAAGATTCTCAAAAAAATAAGCGTGCTTCAGCTGTGTCACAGATCTTGTTTTGTAAAGAGAGAGAGACAGAGGGAAAAGCTTAGCGTCTTTGTTTTGAACGCAAAGCAGTCTCAACTCATCACCCACACATTACACCCATTCACTTCTGTGATTGCATCCTTTTAAACTTGGGCACATTGCCTGCTGTCTCTGTTCCTTCACCTTGACAAAAAGGACTCATTAATGTCTGCCTGCAGGCAACAAGCTATATTAAAAGTCGACGCTGCTGCAAAGCTTCTTTTTTTTTTCATACAGGAGCAAAAAAAAAAAAAAAAGAGAAAAGATCAAAAATACTGTTGCCGCCCACTACCATTGTTGCATCCCTCATATCACCAAATGATTATCTTCTCCTGATTTAATAGAAGGAATACACAGGGGGGTTTAAGTCTCACTGATTTGTCTGTGCATTTGTGTGTGTGCGTGTGTGCGCGTGTGTATGTGGAGGTGGTGAATGGGAGGGGAAAATGTTTCTCCTTAGTAAAGTGAAATGTCTTTTTGAAAGTAACTGAGAGTTCAGTCGGTGCTTAACTTTATGTAAGCGTTCCCCTTTCAGGGCTTTGCAAAAATGTACTGTTTTCACTTTTTTACTTATTTATTTATTCATTTTTCTTATAACTACAAGCTTTAAATGAGCTTTTGGTGACGCAAAGGTTTTCATAATTATGCAGTTGAATGAGTTTTAGTGTATTTTTGTGAATATTTGAAAAGTGTGGTGTGCTTTTCTATGCAGCCCACAAAGTAAATACCTTGTTTTTTGGGGGTTTTTTTGTAAAAATAAACAAGAATTTTTCCAGATTATATGTAAATAATTTTGAAATGCATTTTTTTCTTTAATCCCATGGTGCACTGCTTTGTGTTGGTCAATCAACAACAAGTACTAGGAAATTGTTTGAAAGTCACTGTAAATAGTCCATGCTTAGTTTAAATTATATCAGGGTTTTTTTCCCCTCGGGGGCTGCAGATAAGGCAAACTGCCGGCAATAAATATGGAAGAACCGGAGCGCTCTGGACCTCATACAAGCCCAGATAATGATTCCCTTTCATCAGTGTTTGCTCAGTTAAGGCCCTTTTTATTAAATCAATGGGAAACTGCTGAAGAACATTTTCATCAATCTCCCCAGCTCTGCAGAGGAGTAAAAAAAACTACAAAAAAAACAGAGGTATTAAAATCCTCTGTTGAAACGATAATGGCCACTGGCGCCTCCTCGCGCCTCACTGCACCAGCTATCGCTTCGATTCCACGTTTTTTTCCCCAAAAATCTCCTCCTTGTTGTTCCATTGTGAAATTTGGGCTGCATGTGCCCCGGCCTGTCACTCTGTCATTTCTGTTTAGATGGCCTCACTCTGGCGCCGGGGGGCATGGAGGAGCCGATTCTGTGCTTGACTAAGCTTGCTGAGACTTACAGCCCAAAACAAGCTTCACTTCCAGAGAAGAGTCAGACAAAGCTGGCTAAATTCCTGTGATTTTCTACCACTGACTTCTTCTTCTTTTTTTTTTTTCATAGAGTGAGTCATTGCCCAGAGAGATGGGTTATGATTTGAGCTATACTGTGTCAAAAGCTCCACAAACCTTTAAAGCCGAGGCAATTTGGATTTATGGACCACAGACGTCTGTAATCCTTGCTATTTCAGGTCAGTTTATTTTGAAGACACAGATTGCTACCATGTGGTCACACTCTGAGCTTTAAGAAAAAATGAGAGAGTTTAGCCCAAACAGATTTATCTATTGATATAACACACTTAAGAAAGCCACTCTACCAGGAATACACTCATGTGTTGCCACAGTTACGCAGCGTAAACTTGGATGGTGTAAATCCTCTTGCGAGTCCTTTATTTCAGAGCTCTGTGCTGCTCTCAATGAAAACTCCTAGTAATGGAGGAAGTGTTGCAAGTCATGATCTGCATTTAAAAAAAAAAAAAAAGAAATCAGATGCAATGTGATTAAAATTTGGAGGAATTACAACTAACGTTACGACTATTTCTTTGCCTCCACTTTCCCCAGACAGTCATGGTGATCGAGAGGTTTGTTCATTCACACATCAGCCGGTCGGTTATTGTCTGCATAACTGTCTTAATGTCCCATTTGCTAATTAAAGATGCGACCAATAAAATGCTTCCTTCCTTCACTGAAAGCGTGTTATGCTGCTGTTAATTTGTTGGTACAAACTTGTCCAGAGCGCCATAATAAAAAAAAGAAAAGAAAAAAAAAGAAAAAGAAACGCTGGTCATCTTTTTTGTTGCTGCTGGATTAGAAGGGGCTACCTTTAATGAAAATAGAAACCCTGTTAAGGAGCTAAGAGTATTTGTAGCTTTTGTCACGTCACAAACATAAATTCCAGTGTGGTGTTTCTATGAGGAAATACCAATAAACTACTGCAGAAAATTTGCGCTTTAAAAAATAGCCCAAGCTTCGTCCGATTGGACGGAGAGGATCTGCAAGCATTGGTTTGAAAAACTGTGATACATATTCTCAATTATATTTTTGGTTTGGACTTTGAGTGAGCCATTCCAACAAGTTATTATTTGATTGATTTATTGAAAAAAACATCTCTTTGGGTTTGTCTCTGACCTGTCTGCTGTGTTCGCTAGTCTTCATGATGCAATTTGTTCCCTTATATTTTCTATGAATAACACAGAGGTGGACTCTATGGACTTCTGAATGCATTTTAGTTACCCTGGTTTTTATTTGGGGGGGTTAAGAGTTGAGAGGGATGAATAAAATCGCTCTGCCTAGTTTTCTTTAGGTTTGTGTGAACTTTTGATCCTCCAGGCGGTTTCTGTATCCACTAGGTGTCAGGCCTGACGTTGTGGAAATTTCAAAGCGAGAAAGCCCAGCTTTACTTCACGAGGCTCAGAGAAGGCATCAGGTCAGTTTAACTCGGTCTGTAAAACCCTTTATGAATAAATGATTTGCTATTTTGAGGCCAACAAAACTGCAGTGTTTTACATGAGCATAAAAGACAAGTGTTTGCTGGATAACTAAACAGCTGTTAGGTTTCAAAGACACAAGTTATGGCTAGTGCATCAAATTTTGGGATTATTTTTTATAAAAAGTTATTAAATGATTTAAGTATAAGTTCTGAGTCAGTCTGCTGAGAAAAATTGCTCCCAGGTGCAGAGAAATCCATTCAGCTTTGAAGGAAAAAACATAAACCAACAAAGATTGAAGGAAGGAGATGGAGGCTTTAGCAGGGGTGCACAGAAACAGGAGGGTTCCGTACACACACACACTCACGCTTTTATGCACGGATAAGGTCTTAGGGGGCCTTACAGTTAGCTGCTTAAAATTCCTCTGATGTAACCAACACATGCAGGACATGTTACTTAGAAAAAGAAAAAAAAAACGGTGCATTGTAATAACGAAGCAATGTGGAGGTGGAGTGGCAGGTGCTTTGCGCCCTCTTTCTTCCCAAGGTTCCTCGGTCCCTGAGCCCATGCCACCACGCAACATGACAAACACGACCTCGCTGAACATCCCCTCTGATAGAGTCAGAAGCACCAGTGAGCTGCGCTGGAGGTCAACGGGGTGCGTGGGGGATATTGGGTGTGTGTTCCATGTTGCTCCGTGTGTGAGAGATAGAACGACGATGGCGAGCACTCGTACGGCGGCTATTGATATTCCACTTGCACCCGGAGCTGAAGCCAGTGTCTTTAAAGTGTCAGCCCTCAGCAGCCAGCCAGGTGTACCTGAGGTATGGTCGAGAGAGAGAGGGGGGGAGAGAGAGAAAGAGAGAGACAGAAAGAGACAGATGAGGGTAGAGCGGTTGGGT